GTGTCCAGCTGCGGCATCTCGGGGAGCCCTGTCTTGGATCCCCCACTCCCACCAGAGTCGATTATATCAAGCGGATTTGCAAAGGCAAATGGCCCAAGTATTAGCCCCGTCCAAGCCGAGGAAGTCCTCTGGCTGGTTGATAGGGTGACATTTTCATCGCTTCGCGATAGGATCATTACATTCCATCACCTCCCCTCCCCCTCCCCCTCCCCCTCCCCCTCCCCCCTCCTGCTCCTCCTGCTCCTCCTGCTCCTCCTGCTCCTCCTGCTCCTCCTGTTTCCTGCCTCCTGCTCCTCCTCCTCTCTCCTCCTCCTCCTCCTGCCCTCCTGCTCCTCCGCTCTCCTCCTGCTCCTGCTCCTCCTGCTCCTCCTGCTCCCTCCTGCTCCTCCTGCTCCTCCTTCCCCTCCTGCTCCTCCTGCTCATCCTGCTCCTCTTGCTCCCCTGCTCCTCCTCCTCTTCCTCCTCCTCTTCCTCCTCCTCCGCCTCCGCCTCCGCCTCCGCGTCCGCCTCCTTCCTCCTCCGCCTCCTTCCTCCTCCGCCTCCGTCTCCGCCTCCGCCTTCGCCTCCTCCTCCCTCCTCCGCCTCCGCCTCCGCCTCCGCCTCCGCCTCCGTCCGCGCGCCCCCGCCGCCGCGCCGCCTCTTCCTCCTCCTCCTCCTCCTCCTCCTCCTCCTCCTCTCCTCCTCCTCCTTCATCCAGATCCTCCTCTTCGTCCTCGTCCTCGTCCTACTACTCCGCCCTCGTCCTCCTCCCTCCCTCCTTCTCTTCCTCTTCCTCCTCCCTCCTCTTCCTCCTTTTCCTCCTCCTCCTCCTCCTCCTCCTCCTCCTTCCTCCTCCTCCTCCCTCCTCCTCTTCCCTCCTCCTCCTCCTCCTCCTCCTCCTCCTCCTCCTCCTCCTCCTCCTGGCCCGTTTGGGAGCCTATTGGGGTCCTCTTGAGCTCTCTTAGGGCCCTGGGGGCCCTCTCGGACCGTTTGGGGCGCCTCTGGGGCTGTCTTGGGACGATCTTTGAAGCCTCTTGGGCCGGCTTGGGCCCGTCTGTGGGCTCTCTTGGACCGTTGTGAGCCCCTTTAGGGCGCCTCTGGGGCCGTCTAGGGACGATCTTTGGGGCCTCTTGGGCCGTCTGGGGCCCTTCTGGGACGGAAAACGGGAGAACCGACAAAACATGCAGACATACTTTTTAAAAAGCATAGTTTTTGGCCTCTGGAGGCCTCTCAAGGGGCCCTATTGAGAACCTCCGGGGCCGTTTCGAGACTCTCTTGGACCGTCTAGCGGCCATCTGAAGCTCTCTTGGGGCCGTCTTGGGGCCCGCTTGGGCCGTCTTGGGGCCGTCTTCGGGCCCTCTGAAGCCGTTTTTGGCGCCCTCGTGGGCTGTCTTGGGGCCATCTGGCCGGTTTACCCGAAAAAGTCGAAAGAAATTGGCCATGGGGGCAGCCCAGGAGCCGCTTCACTCGAAAAAATAAGTTTAAACAAGAAAACGCGCCATTTGATGTTTCATCCGCGCCTCGTCCCTCCTCTGCACTCCTCCCTAGCCCTAGAGGGCTTACCCCTGCTCAACGTCACTCGCCCATACCTCGCTCTTTCCGTCAGCTGGGGCACGGAAACGGAAACGGAAAGAGCGCTTCAGCGACCTGCCCGAGATGGCTCATGGCACCCTTCGCTCTTTGGAGCCTTGGTGTGAAGAACTAGTCACGTCACCGCTCTCTGTTGGGAGCCCTGGTGTTCAGAGACTTTCACGTTGCCGCCCGTTCTTGGGCCTTGGTGTCAAGAGCTTGTTACGTCACCGCTCGTTCTTGGGAGCCTTGCTGACAAGCGAGTGGTACGACGCAGCTCTCTGTTGGAGCCTTGCTGTGAAGAGCTCGTTGCAGCACCGCTCTCTGTTCAGAATCCGCGTGCCCAGAGACGCTTACATTGCCGATCGCTCTTGGGAGCCTTGGTGGTAAGAGTTTGTTGCGTCACCGCTCGCACTTAGCAGCCTTGCTAGTAAGCGCGTGCTACGTCACCGCTCTCAGTTGAGAGCCTTGCTCCTCCTCCTCCTACTAGTACGCCTATACGTATTATCCTCCTGCTCCTCCTCCTCCTCCTCCTCTGCCTCCTCTGCCTCCTCCTCCTCCCTCTTTCTCCTCCTACTCCTCTTCCTCCTCTTCACCTTCCTCCTCCTCATTCCTCCTCCTCCTCCTCCTGCTCCTCCTCCTCCTCCTCTTCGTCCTCATCCTCCTCCTCCTCCTCTTCCTCCTCCTCGTCCTCCTCCTCCTCCCTCTTCCTCCTCCTCCTCCACCTCCCTTTTCTCCTCCTCTTGCTCCTCCTCATCCACTTTCTTCTCGTCATTATGTTCCTCTTCTTCCTCCTCCTCCTCTCCCTCCTCCTCTTCCTCTTCCTCCTCCTCCTCCTCCTCCTTCTATCTCCCACCTAACTTCCTCTGTCTCCTCCTCTTCCTCCGCCTCCTCCTCCTTTCCCTCCCTGTCCCCTCCTCCTGCTCCTCCTCCTCCTCCTGTTTCTTCTCCTCCTCTTTCTCCCGCTTATCCTCCTCCTCCTCCTCCTCTTCCTCCTCTTCCCTTGGCCTTGTCTTCGTTTCTTCTTCTCCTCTTCCTCCTCCTCCTCCCTCTCCTCCTCCTCCTCCTCCTCCTCCTCCTCCTCCTCCTCCTCCTCCTCCCTCCTCCTCCTCCTCCTCCTCTTCCTCCTCCCGCTTCTTCCCCTTGGCCTCTCCTCTCCCTCGTTCCTCCTCCTCCTCCTCCTCGTCCTCCTCCTCCTCCTCATCGTCCTCCTCTTCTTCCTCCTCCTTCTCCTCCTCCTTCTCGTCCACCTCCTCCTCCTCCTCCTCCTCCTCCTCCTCCTCCTCCTGGGGCCCGCTTTGGAGCCTCTTGGGGCCCTCTTGGGGCTCTCTGGGGGCCGTCTGGGGGGCCGTCTTGGGGCCCTCTTTGGCCGTCTAAGGGCCATCTTCGACCGCCCTCAGCCCCTTTGCGGGGCCTCTGGGGCCGTCTTGGGACGATCTTTGGGGCCTCTTGGGCCGTCTTGGGCCCGTCTGGGAGCCCTCTTGAACTGGTTTGGTGCCCTCTTGGGCCGTCTTGGGGCCCGTGGGCCGCTTCACCCGGAAAACATACGAAGAAACGGGCCATGCGAGCCGCCCGGGAGCCGGGAGCCTCTTCACTAAAGAAAATACGATGGAAACGGGCCGTTGCATCCAGTCGGCCGGGCCTCGCCCCTCCTCTGCACTCCTCCCTAGAGGGCCTCGCCCCAATTCAACGTACATCACTCGCCCTTTGCTTCACCTGCTTGACACGGGGACGGAAAGCGCATTTACTTTCAGAGCGCGAGATGTCGCTGGTTTGCCCGTTCTTTCTGTCTCCCCGTCTGGATGCTCTCTTGGGACATCTTGGCGGCATTTTGAGCGCCCTCTAGGGCTATCTCGAAGCTGCAGGAGGCCTCTTCAGGGGGAACTAGGGCGTGTTGGTATCTTGGGAAGACACTAGAGCGCGATAAAACACGAGTGAAGATTATGATAATACTGTTGATTCTGATGACGACGACATACTATCTCTTGGGAGCATCTTGGGCCTCTCCCAGGCCCTCCTAGGGCCGTCTTGTGGCTCGCTTAGGCCGTCTTGGGGCCCTTTGGGGCCGTCCTCAGGCCCTCTTAGGAGCATCTCGGGCCGTCATGGCAGAACCTCGGGGGGCCCCTGGAGCTGTATTGGGCCGTTATTGCCCGAAAAACGAGCTGGACAACCTTCACAAACCTAAAGGCAATAATGGTTTTTGCGTCGTCTGGCACTTTGGGGGGTCCTCTCGGGGGCCGCTTGGGGTGTCTTGGAGGCCGCTTGGGCTGTACTGAGGCCATCTTGGGTTATCTTGGATCGCTATTGGGCCGCCCTCGGGCCCGTTTGGGCCTCTCTTACGCCGTCTGGTACCTTAAGCTGGCGAGGAGCTTACGCGCTTACGCGGAGCTTACGCGGCGCTTACGCGGAGCTCACGCACCCGTTAACAAAGAATTCCAGGTTCACAAGCACCTGACCCCGCTTAGGTACCCGTTAACAAAAAAATTATATGGAATGCCATGTTAACGAGGCCCTGACCCCGCTCGGGCACCCGTTAACAAGGAATTCCGTGCAATTTCCAGGTTAACGGGTGCCTGAGCCCGCTCAAGCACCCGCCTTTCCATGTTAGGAGCTCCGTTAACAACGAAACATGCATCAGATCCCTGGGGGGGACGGCATGCCACCCCCCTCGAACTCCCGCTAATTTCATTCCTCTCGGCTAACGGACCGCACGCTACGCGCGCTTTCCGTCATCTGGGGCTACGGATGCCACCCCCCTCGAACCCCCCCTAGTTTCACTCCTGTCGGCTAACGGACCGCACGCTACGCGCTCGGGCACCCGTTAACAAGGAATTCCGTGCAATTTCCATGTTAATGTTAACGGGTGCCTGAGCCCGCTCAAACACCCGCCGTTCCATGTTAACGGCTCCGTTAACAGGGAAAAAGGGCCATTAGATCTTGGGCTACTCGAACAAATACCAAGGGAACAGGCCATTACATCTGGGGTTACGGATGCCACCCCCCTCGAACTCCCCCGAATTTGACTCCTCCCGACCAACGTACCGCACGCTGCGCGCGCGTTCCGTCAACTGCGATGGAGGAGAAACCTGGCGCCAAGGGGGTCGAGAGCCCCGGGGGTTTCATCGTCACCCACAATGCGTGGCGTCAGAGGGCCGAGGAGTCCGAGGGGGCGCAAACGCTTGCAAATAAGTACAGCCAACCCCTACAGTAAAGACGCACGATGAGGATGCAAGGGACTTGGAAGACCATGTGGACACTTTCCGAGCGGGGAGCGGCCAGCGACAACGGCCAAGGATGGGCTGGAGGGGGAGGATGGGTAACCATGGAGTATCGCTTATCCTAACCATGCGGGTTGACTGCACATCATCGAGGAGAGATTTGCACATGGCGAAGCACATACCAGTAGCAAGCGACTCTGCGGCGGCAGAACGCTCGAGTAGAGGATGCAGGACCATGCCATGCCCATGCACGTGAAGGTGACAAGGTACATCGTTACCGTAGCCTCCCATGAACCGAAAGAAAAACACAGGTCACAGAGCCAAACCGCCAACTTCCATGACGACCTCCTTCTAGGACTCCCCAAGGTGAGGACAATATGGCCAAGTGGGGGAAGATACAACGGCTTTCCAGAGGGCCTCTCAATCGTGCAATATGAAATGCAGCGGGCCCTGAGAGAAACAATACCCTGTTGTTTCAAAGGCGTGGCATCTTCTCTTGAGCAGATTAGGGCGGAACGTGTACCTGCTGCGTGTACGCCATAAGAGTGGGCCAGCATGGCTTAAATGCCAGCTTGAACGCGCAAGCACCACCCCCGCCACGTATCGCCCTGGAAGAGGGCAGGAGTGGACTCGCACGGTAAAGCCTCTTCCACTGTAGAAGCAAAGTAAAACGACACCACCACCAGCGCGACGAGCCGGGGAGTATATTTCTGGTGGCTTGGTCTCCCGTTTTGTGGCGCCCCGCTCGAAACGCTTCCTATCTCCAGCAGGGACCCACACGCCAGCGGTGGCTCTACTGGTGTTGGTGGCGTTGTTCTCTTTCCTCTGGAAAAAAGGCAACCATGTCCAATCGGTCGGCCTTGCAGCAGCGAGCACGCTGCGCCCACACACCTTCAATTGCTCGCCCCTCCCTGGGGCATTGCGGCATCGCTCATCAGCAAGAGCATCAACATCGTACTCATTGTCAACCTCCTCATGAGGTTCCAATTCGACGATCCACAAACTCATCACCATCATCCCCTATCCACCACGCATCACCACAATCGTCGGCCACTGGCGAGAGAGCGGAGAGAGTGGGGAGAAGAACCCCGTCCTCCTGCCATGAATCCAAACGGGTCCCGAGGGAAGCAGGTCCAGGACCGGGGGGTCTTTCCCTGGGACCACCTTTGGGTGACCCAAGAGAGGGTCCAGCTGAAACGGGGTTGGTGCAATAGATTTGGGGCAGTTGTATTGCAAATGTATTGCGCAGGAGAATTGGATTGCATTGTATTGCAAGTAATGTATTGCACGCGGGACCACCCTCGGGTCGGGCGAAAGGGGGGGATAGCAAAGGGGGGGTTTGAGAATCAGCTCACGTAGCTGATTTTCCCGGCGCCTCCCGGCGCCGGAGGCGACTATGTATCGAGGAATGGGCCCCTCGGTGAGGCCGAAATCAGCTGCATGCAGCAAATTTCGTAACCCCCCCTTTCCCAATCCCCCCCTTTCGCCCGGCCCGACACCCCTTTCCACTCGAAGCCACTCTCCTCGTCGAACCCGTGGCCCAGGAACGGCCACCCCTGGGCCTGAGCTCGGCCGCGGGCCTCCGGGCTCGCCCCGCGGCTGTTCCAGGCTGGCCTCCGGCGGCAGCGCGGGATGACCCAGACACCACCGAAGAGCTCCCGCCGAGGCCCGGCTGCTGGAGACCACCCCGGGCGTCGGAGGCAACCAAAGAGGCAGGAGAACCCCCGAAGGTCCTCGGGCCCTCCGAGCACTCCGAGAGGCAGCAGGGCGCTTCCAAAGCAGAGGCCCCGAGGGGCACCGACAGGGGGGGGGCACTGGCTCAGGGGGGTGGGAAACATCGACCTGGGATCTGCGAGGCATCGCCGAGGCATCGGCGATGGGCGCCCGATGGCGAAACCGGAAAAACCGCACCTTCCTGGGCGGGGCGGGCTCTCGGGCCGCTGTCGGCGATCAAGATGGGCCATCGGGGGTTGATTCCTTTCTCCGGAGCCTATCCCTCACGAACGTTGCCCCTGGACAGGGGCGTCGACATGGGCAAGGAGCAAGCGCGCATCCGGCCCCCGCGTCTGCTAACGCGGCTGTTGCAATACAGGCTCCTGCAACCCGAGATGTTCACGCGGTCCGAGTGCGACTCATGGTGGCGCGCGCCCCCCGAGCCTCTCCCCCGAATGCTGCCCCTGCAAGCCCCCCAAGACCCGACGTTGCAACAAAAAAAAATAACACTGCAAAAAATCACGCCCAGAGCCCCGGACCGCATCGCCCTGCGTCATTCTTCGAGCCGGATCGATCAGTGAGGGGGTCCTTGGGCCCGAAATTGAGCGAGCATTCTCGTTGCGCAAAACATGCAACGCCAAGATCTCAAGGCCCACACCCCTTTGGACGCCCGAAATGGGTACGGAGAAAATGAATACAATGCCCAACATGTTGCCCCAAACCGACAGCGGGCGCTGTTGGGCAGGCGACCTTCTGTCTCAAGTGGACACAGGCCGCGGCGGCGCGGACAGCGAGTCCTGTTCAGAATGAACAGGTAGAATGAATATCGGGAGCGGCCAAGTGTGGGGTGTCCAAGAGGGGGGGTGCAAATCATGACCGGCGGCATGTGCGCGGCCCAGCGGGGGGGCCAGGGACGTGATGAATTAAAAAGAGGCGCCATGAGATCTGGGGAAACATCATGGCCCACGCCATGATATCCCCCCCCCTAGTCATCACCCCCCTCTTTTCCGCCCCCGAGAACAGGCACTGCTGTTAGGCATTGTACCCATTCTTTCCGTAACCATTCCGCTCGTGCAGCACCCCCCTCGCCGCCCCAGCGGTCGCCCTGCGGCGCCGCTCCCCCGGGCGCGGGGGCCCTCATCGCCATGGGAGGCCCGCGCCGCTGCGCGGCGCGCGCCCAGCCGGCACCCGCCGCGCACTGCGGCCGAGGGCGGCCTCGCCCCGCCCCGGGGCCCTCGTCGGCGGCGGCCTCGCCGCCGCCGCCGGCGTCGGCGGCGTCGTCGGCAGCGTCCTCGTCGGCGTCGTCGTCGACGTCATCATCATCATCATCATCATCATCATCATCATCATCATCATCATCATCATCATCATCATCATCATCATCATCATCATCATCATCATCATCATCATCATCATCATCATCATCATCACCATCATCATCATCATCATCATCATCATCATCATCGCCATCATCATCATCATCATCATCATCATCATCATCAGCATCATCATCATCATCATCATCATCATCATCATCACCACCACCACCACCACCACCACCATCATCATCATCATCATCACCACCATCATCATCATCATCATCATCATCATCATCATCATCATCATCATCATCATCATCATCATCATCATCACCATCACCCTCGTCGTCGGCGTCGTCGTCGGCGTCGTCGGCGTCGTCTGCGGCGGCGGCGGCGTCCTGGGCGTCGGCGGCGGCGGCGGCGGCGGTGGCGAGGGGCGCAGGCGGCGGCAAGGGCTCCCAACGTCGCTCGTCGCGCTGCGCGAAGCGCGAGGTGCGAATGACTTCGCGCTCTCGCGCCGCCCCCCGCTGGGCATCGCTCGGACGTCCATTCTCTGTGTTTTGTTGGTTTCGTGCGTGGTTTTTTCGCCAAATGATCAAGGATGCTTCTCGATGGTCCTCGCCGAAGGAAAAATGCACACGTCCGAGCGATGCCAAGCCCAGGGGAGAAGAGGATGGGGAGGAATCGGAGCCGAAGTGCGACGCGCGAATGACTTCGCGCACTCGAGGGCGCCCTTGCGGCGACGCCTCTCTCTCTCTCTCTTTCTGTCTCTCGTCGGGGAGACGTCGGGCGCGGGCGCGCGGGACTCGGGTTGGCCCGACGGGGCCCTCCTGACAATGACGAGACCCCCTCTGTAAACTTGAGGCGAGCTCCCGCTGCAACCGTCCCACGAACACGGGACCGTCAAACACCAGGTCGCGCCGGTAGAGGCCTCCTGGTGGGGTCCGAGTAGATGGGGTCCAAGGATCGAGACGCATCGCCAGTGCATCGCCGCTGCATCGGCGATGCATCGGCGACGTCGGCGCGGGGAAACGCGGGCTCCTCATCAAGCCGCATCGTCGATGTATCGGCGATGCGGCGCGATCCTCCGACCCCATCTTCTCGGACCCCATTTAGGAAGCCCAGAGCTCGTCTAACCGACCCGCCTGCAGCGCAATCGACCCGCCTGCAGCGCAATCGACTATTCAGTGTACTGTTTATGTGTATGTCTTGCTTGTGCCTGCACGCCGCCACCTGCCACAAATTTCCTTGCCAATGCGCCGTGTGGGCGCGGATTCTGTCTGTCTGTCTGTCTGGAGCTCGTCAAAAAAAAACGTCGGCAAACCCGACTTGCGGCGCACTCGAGTCCTACGCGTCCACGATCTGTTGGCTCCCCAGGGGCGCCGCAGCGCCGCAGGCCCTGGCGGTGGCGGTGGCGGAGCGGAGAGGCACGGCGCTGGTCGCCTCGTGTAAGGAACGGCGGGTGCTGCAGGGCGCCCCGATTGGATTTGCGAACGCAAATAGATGCCATCGTGGCAATTGTCGACCACAATCGAGCAGACTTTTTCCCAACCATCCTGTGGTGTTGGGTCCTCGTTTTGAAGAGACAGCGCCCCGCGTTCCTCTCCTCTCCTCTCCTCCTTCCCTCCCTCCCCCCCTCCTCGCCTCTGCTCTTCGCATGGCTCCGTTTCGCCGCACCCCATCACACGCTTCGTGGCCCCATAGGGAACCCCACCGAAGGCCCCAGTGGCAGGGTTCGCATGGCGGCACCACCACATTTCGGCGCACCCCTCACAAGCTTCGTGGCCCTATGGGCAATTCCACCGAAGGCCCTAGTGACAGGGTTCGCACGGCGGCCCCGTCCCATTTCGCCACACCGCTCACACGTTTCGTGGGCCCATAGGAGGGAGCTCCACCGAAGACCCCAGCGGCAGGGTTCGCATGGCGGCCCCGCCGTACTTCGGCACACCAATCACCCAATTATTGGCCCCACGGGCAGCTCCACCGAAGGCCCCAATGGCAGGGTTCGCATGGCGGCCCCGACCCATGCCGGCACACCCCACACACGGTTCGTGGCCCAAGATGGAGCTCCACCGAAGGCCCCAGTGGCAGGGTTCGCATGGCGGCCCCGCCCCATTTCGGCGCACCGGTGACACGCTTCGTGGCCCCATGGGCAGCTCCACCGAAGGCCCCAGTAGCAGGGTTCGCATGGCGGCCCCGCCTCATTTCGGCACGCACGCTCCCCACACGCTTCGTGGCCCCATATGGGGCTCCACCGAAGGCCCCAATGGCAGGGTTCGCATGGCGGCCTTGCCCAATTTCAGCACACCGCACACAGGTTCGTGGCCCCATGGGCAGCTCCACCAGAAGCCCCAATGGCAGGGTTCGCACGGCGGCCTCGCCCCATTTCGGCACACCTCTCACACGCTTCGTGGCCCCATGGGCAGCTCAACCGAAGACCCCAGTGGCAGGGTTCGCATGACGGCCCCGCCTCATTTCGGCGCACCCCTCACACGCTTCAGGGCCCCATAGAGAGCTCCACCGAAGGCCCCAGTGGCAGGGTTCGCACGGCGGCCCCGCCCTAGTTCGGCACACCCCGCACACGCTTCGCGGGCCCATAGGGAGCTCCACCGAAGGCCCCACTGGCAGGGTTTGCATGGCGGCCTCGCCTCCACCGCGGCACACTTCTCACGCGCTTCTTGGCCCCATGGGGGACTCCACCGAAGGCCCCAGTGGCAGGGTTCGCATGGCGGCCACGCCTCATTGCCGTACACACACACAAACACACACGCACACACACACACACACACACACACACACACCGCACGCTTCGTGGCCCAATAGGGAGCTCCACCGCAGGCCTCAGCGGCAGCGTTCGCATGGCGGCGTCGCCTCCATTTCGGCAAACCCCTCACACGCCTCGCGGCCCCATCTAGAGCTCAACCGAAGGCCCCAGTGGCAGGGTTCGTATGCCTTCCTCTGCCAATGTTTACACACCCTCAAACGTGTCGTGGCCCATATGGAGCTCCGCCACAGGCCCCAGTGGCAGCGCCTGCATGCGTCCCGCAGTCCACTTCGGCACACCCCGCACACGTTTCGGGGTTCCCATCGGGTTTGCCCCGTGCTCAATGATTGAGCACATGACGACGCAAATGGGTACCCCTCATCATAGGTAACATCGTGCGCTTTTCGCAGTTGCGCATGGTTGGGTCCCTCGCCAGGCTGAATTGTTATCGCACTCCAATGTTTTATCACACTTGGCCCGAGCATCGTTGCCACTGCAGCTTGTGATTGCACATGACTCGCGTTGCTGCAGGTGTGCATGTTTGCAGACATCCCTCCGCGGCTCGTCAGCGCAGACAACCGGTGGCGAAGGGGGGTCCTGGACCCTGGTCCCACCCAGGCCAGCGGAGGACGTCATAGGGGGCCGGGGCAGTACGTCGATGCGAGAAGGAAGGGGAAGGAAGTGGAGGGAGGATCGGGCAGACGGAAGCGCATGGGATTGCCATTTTGGCATGCGTTGCGGGAGCGAACCCTACTGTCGCTCGAAAGCGACTGCGAGCCAAGACTCGCTCGCGCGCGTGCCCCACCCACGCATTGGGCGCGGGTGTGCGCCACCCCTCCCGAAGGAGGCGAGGCCCAAGCCGGGAGGCCTGGGCCCTCGGATGGCGACACCCGTACCCCTACCCCTACCGACAACCGACTCTCCCGGCGCGAATCGACGCCGAATGGACGCTCCATCGGCGCTCGCTCGTCGACTGCCAGGACGCCAGCGCACGCGGACGCACCCGAAGACGGACCTTTGAGGGCAGGCAGGGATCCCACGAGATGATGCCGAAAGCAGCGGCGACGACGACGAGTGCGCGAGTGGTGGCATCTCAGCCGTACCCCACCAACCGCCGTCTCTCCCGAATCGATGGGAGGTGGGCGCAGGGTTCGGACTTCGCCACGCGCCCGACGAATTTCGAGCCCTACTCCACACGCCCATCGAGTTGCAATCATTGATCGGCGAGGGTAACATTCGGATTTTGACGCGCCCTCGTCGCCATGGCTGCACTCGTTTTGAGCTTCTGGTCAGCACGCACCCCAGGACCCTTCGAGTAGGGGATCGACTACAGAATTGATGCACCCCACAATTCATCTCTCCGTCGAACGAGGACGGCGGTGGCTGCCGCGACGGCGATCACGCGGACGACAACGGCGACGCCGACGAAGGACGACGACGACGACGACGACGACGACGACGATGACGACGGCGGCGACGGCGGCGGCGGCGACGGCGGCGGCGGCGCCCCTCCTGCGCGCGGAGCGGTCTGGGCCTGAAGCCAGGGGGCCCCCGCGCGGGCGCGCGGTGGATGGCGACGGGGGGGGCGAAAGGGGGGGAGCTCGTGGTCAGAGGCCTCCCAGACGGGGTCGGAGTAGTTGGGAACGGAGGATCGCGCCGCATCGCCGCTGCATCGTCGATTCGACGACAATGCATTGGCGCTGCACTGGCGACGTCGGCGATGTATCGGCGACGTAGGCTACAAATCGAGCCGCATCGCCGGTGCATCGGCGATGCATCGGCGACGCGGCGCGATCCTCCGACCCCATCTACTCGGACCCCGTACTATTATGCCTAGATTGGTGGACGCGTCTGCCTGGAGTCGTCGATACAACGACTGCGAGGGCGTCGGCATCTGAAACCGCGCAGGTCGTGCAGCCTGGAGCGGTCGCTGCTTTCCGAGGTAGCCAGCGGGGGCATCGGTCGATTCCAGGCGACTGACTGGCTCAAAACCATCTCAAACCAATCGGGAATCTTCTGACCCGGGTCAATCCAGACCCGGGTCAGCAGGAAACCAAAAAACTGCAATGCAGGAAAAAAAAAAACTGCATCGCAGGTCTTCGCAAACACGGGTCAGCCAATATGCGCGGCCGCCACGCGGCCACGAGCGGCTCGCTAACCCGGGTCAGCCAGAGGGGGTCTTCGCACGATCCTGCAGGATCCAGCGCCCTGGCTGACCCCCGTTTGCACTGACCCCCGTCTCAAGGCTCCCGAACCGATCCCCCTGCACTCTCCCCGGATGCCACCCTGGCCAGCCTGCCGAGATGTGCCCGGTCGTGGCGACGAGCACCTCCAGGACGGCCGAACGACTCGGAAGCCAGGCCGTGGCCGTCGCCGACCCCGACGATCCCCTGCCCCTGCAGCCAGACGCAGGCCTGGCTGTGACTTCAAAAAATGTGTATTATTAATATGTTTGGTGGCATTGACAAATAATAATTCTAAGAACTGTTTGTATTACATATTTTTCGTTACATACATCAATTGGAAAATGTTGCAAATAAAACATACATGTATTCATTTAGAGGTCCAAACAATGGTATTGCACGTTATGCCTTTGAGCTGATCGAAGCCACATCCTTTCCTGGGGAGGGTGGGCCTCGCCTCGACGAGGCCAGGGGCGGTTCAGACATAGAAGTGCAGGAGGAGCTCGACCACAATAAACCCTCCACAAGAAACCCGACCCTGAGACCCCGGGGCGTGCATGGATTCTCGGTGTGGGAAAGGCACGCTTCCCATCGCAAAACCATCGAAATCCAAGAAACCCAGGGCACCCTGGAGGCAAGCTGAGTGTTTCTTGGAATAGGTTTCTGCACGGAAGCCCCCTAAGCCAGTCCACCCCCCTTTCGCTGGCCACACGTTAGAATGACCCCAGGCAGAGAAAGTGACCTTTGCTGCTACGGTTGCCGATCGATGCGTGCGATGCGACTGTAGCCGCCTGCATGCCTTGTGCTGGGAAACCCCCCAGCGCTTCCCCGAAAGCAGCGGACCACAAGGTAGAAGTCCGCGTGGATGTCTTGGATCGGCCGCCCTTGCCCTTGCCCTTGCCGCTGCTGGTCTCCAGAGACGCGCTCTGGTATCCGAGGGCGGCTAATTTCCGCTTCAT